CAGGAATGGGGAATTGTCAGGCTTTGCTGGAATCAATCTGTTCAGGTGATAAACCCCAGCAGAAAAACCAAAAAACACACCACAAAAAACCTACAACCCAACAAACACAAACAAAAAAAAAGCCACAAAAAAACCACAAACTAAAAAAGATTGGCTGAAGTTATTAAATCCTGCCTGTTTGGCAGGAAGGTGGGCCCTCAATTCAAAGACAGTATTAGCTTGCAGAGCACAGAAAACTTCAGAGACAGAGAAAGCCACAGTTACCTTGAAGGCATCAAGAAGACACTACAGAAGCAAAAGTATAGCACTTGAACCACATGTGGATCAACTCCTTAGAGATACTTCTTTTTCCTTTTTAATACAAGAGACCTCAAACTTTACTTCCCCTGCAGAGCAGCAAGGCATGTTAGATCCTGGGCCAACCGCAGCAAAGAGGGAAGATGTCACCTGGAGAGGTGGCACCTCAGCAGATCACCCCTGCAGGTCAAGACCCACCTGCTGCTCCCAACACTGACAGCCTGGGAGCACAGTCATGGCACTAGAAAAGGGTCTCATGACTTGTGCCTCTTTAGTGGTCAGTAACAAGCTCAAGTTAAGCTTCTGGCACTAACCTGCTGAAGTTTCACCCACGTGACAAGCAGCAGACATACAGGACTTGGCACCAAAGTCCAAAGATCTTAGGGACAAATACTAAGCCTTAACCAGACAGTTAATTTTCAAAGATAAGCCATTGGGCCAACAAGAAAAAGGACAAGAAAGTCAATCCTTTTCCCCAGCCACCCACAACTATAACTTCACCATCTGCAGAAAGATGAGCCCAAGGAACCCGATTTACTCAGTAACTTCTGCCACAGGATACAGCATCATCTCTAACAAGTTTGCAAAGGTAAGTGTTTGGGCTGGATTTTAAGATGGCAAATAAATAAATAAATAAAATTAGCAAAGATACAGAAGCTGCAAAATTTCTGTTTTCAAAGGCACAGCAGGAAGGAGGTGTGACATTTAAAAGGAGAACTGTTAGCCAGGTTGCTTTTCACTCACCTCTCTAGACAGATTCTCATTCAGAAAGTGTCGTGCTAGATCAGATACTACTTGTCCTTGGATTTCTTTGTCAAACTGGTCTCCAATCTCAGCCAGCTGAGCAGCAATGATCCGGACAACATCTTCATTTACAGGAGGCTCATACACTGCCAACACTAACAGCAGGGTTTAGTTCACAGGCTGCAGTCAGACCAGGTGCATTGCAGATAAGCTGACCCATCTCCACTCCCTCTATTCCTCCTTCCCAGTCCCAATCAGTGTACTGGGACATGAGAGCTATAAACACAACTCCTTTATGTGCACTCAAGTTGCTTCCCAGAGTCAGTGTGCAAACTGGGTTTTTTTATCTGTAGTCTGGGTAAAGTGCAACCTCACCCTGCCCAAAAAAATCACTACAGAGGATGTTAGAACATCTCCAACCAAAATTTGAACAGTACAGCTAAGGCAAACACCCTGCCCAGAGAGGGAAACAGACTATGCATGACCTTAAAGGTCTTTTCCAACACAAAAGATTCTAGGATTTATTTGAGTGATTGTCAGGGCTTGTCCCTTAAGCACCATCTGAAATACAGCATCTCATTGAACAGTTTGGGTTGGAAGGGACCTTGAAAGGCCACCTAGTCCAGCCCCCCTGCAATGAGCAGGGACAGCTTCAACCAGACCAGGTTGCTCAGAGCCCCAGCCAGCCTGGCCTTGAATGTTTCCAGGGATAGAGCATCCACCACACCTCTGGCTAACCTGTGCCATGTTTCACCACCCTCATTGTAAAGACCTTCCTTACATCTAGTCTGAATCTACCCTCTCTGTTTAAAACCATTACCCTTTGTCCTATCTCCTTTTGACACAGCTTCCCATCGTCCCTGGGGGCACGAGACCTATGCAAATTGGTATGAGGGAGAGCTATTTGCCACAGCAGCTCCTCCTCACCTTGCCTTGGCTGAGCTCAGTGTGCCAGCTGACACACCCTGGGCAATGGTCAATAGCCACCCTGCAGGTGGCTAATGAAGCCAGAACAGTACCAGAAACTACCTAAGGAACAGTTTGCCCCACACTCGTAGAGCAGAAAGGGATTCACCCAGTACCAAAACACAAGATGTTCCAAGATCTACCCCAAACAGTGATACTGCCCAAGCAGCAGTGTGAGGTCTAACTTAACCGCTTAACATCACACTGCTTGAGGGCAGCTGTCACCAGGACCAGCTTTGTGGCCCTTGCCTGACAAACCCTCAGGGTGACAGGTGCTCTAGAAATCCATGGAGAGTGCTAAGTACTAGCTCTCCCAAGTATTAAACTCCCAACCAACAGCACCACAGCCACGCTGGGAAGTTTCTCAGTGGAGAAAATGTTACTCCTGTGAAACAGACAGCAGCAAAGAGATGAAAAGGGAAAGGAAATCCACCACATTGACAGGTGCACTCACCTCCCTCATTGCTTTGCAGGTGGCCACTCCGGTTGCCATCAGTCTGGAGCTCAAAGTCATCTTCACAGTACATTTGGCGAGACATAATCACATGGCTTTGCAGGGAAGGCAGCTGCTGTTTGAACTTGCAGTCAGAGGATACATCCAGGAAGGCATACAGCAGTGCACTCTCCATCTGGAGAGATCCATTCATCTTCAACATAAGAAAAGTCACTGTTAAGCCCATGCCTAGAAAATGTCCCACTCAAAAGGTTTATACATACAGATTTTCCAACCCTGAACATGGCTCTGGCCTCCTTTGGGCATCCTGAATAGCATTAGCCAGAAGGTCCACAAGACTTTAGCAAATGCATCTTAACTCCTGGATGTGCACCCACACTGAACTGCCTGACTGTGAATGACTGATGGCTCTGCTCTTACAAACCAGTGGTGGAGGAGCCAGTTCACCTTCTCCTCACATTTCCAGATGTGGCAACGACAGCAACCCTGATCAGAGCAGTATTAATCACAAACCACTCACTTCCCCCATCTGTGTTTGGAAGGTTTTCACCCCTGTATTTGGGACTTGGGCATGCTACATGGAGCAGCCATCAGCTCCCCAGTCAAATGTAATCAGAGCAGAGCAGTAACAAGGTGGGAAACAGAGATAATAGCATAAGCCTGAAAAAAAACCCCAAGGTTCACATTTCTTCTCCCTTTTCAGAGGAACCTCAGCTAACTCCATAAATAAACCTGCTCAGCTCCTCATAGAGAGCCAAGCAGCTGCTCACAAGAAAAGCGACGTGAGATGGCAGATCACTGGCACCTGGGATCACCCACATGGGCACGTTCACCCCCAGGAAACAGGGACATGCTGCCCCCAGGGCCACACACCCTGCAGCCTTCAAGGAAGGCAGCACAGAGTGCCCAAATTAGGCTGAACAGGTCCACAAGGCAGAGTGATGTGAGCAAGAGGTCCCACTGGAACACGAGGCCTCATAACCAACCAAAGCCTCTGTGGAAAAACAGGAGACTACCCAACAATTTTAGGAAACCAAGCTAAGAGAGCAGGATGTTGTGTAAGCACAGAAATAAAGTAAGAAAATCCTTACTCTGATACGCAGACTGTCTGCCTGTAAGAAAATACTTAGGCTTAATTTTACCTAGGGAGAAGAAAATTAAAGAATGGGGTTTTATGCCAACTGTATAGGGTGAACAATATGCACCCAGGATGAACTTGGTAACTGAAAGGGAGTTTTGGAGAGTGGAACCTTGCAAGGCCTTCTACATAACCATATCAGTAACATCATACAGGACCCACATTGCCTAGGCAGCACCACTAGGACAAATGCACAAAAAGTAATTAGGGATGGATTGTTTACCCTGAGAGGAGTCTAGGCAGAGAAAAGGAGGAGCAAAGTCAACAAAAAGGAGGTCCAAAAACAGAAACAAATGGAAAATAGGGTATATGGTCAAAGATCAACAGAAGGCACATCTTCCATCCTCTGACCATGGATGTCTGCAGACAGTAGTGAAGTTCAGCTGGGGACACAAGCTCACTGGTGATCCCCTTCAACAACCCACTGGACTAGTCATTGGGTTTAATCACAGACAAATGTTCTGTTACATTATGCTCAAAAGGCTTGTGGGAGGGCAGAGCAGAGGTTTAGAACTGTGCCCTAACACGAGCTGGGGTGGGGGAGGCTGACAGACATTCCAGTTACAGCTCAGTGTGGTGAAGACTGGAGTGTGACAAACAGCAGCTTCATAACAGTGTTTCATATTGCACAAAACAATGCAATAAATCGATCATAGTGCTGTGGCCATTGATTTATTACTATTAGAAATCTGTAGCTTTATCAATTAATGTTGTAGTCTCATACGCCATCTCCAGCCTGCAGTTTCGAGGGCAAGTGCCACACTGGGAAGCAGATTGCAAACCAAGTGGTTCCATCCACTCCTCTGTACTCAAGGCAGCATAAGGGCCCTGCAGGAGCTGCAGGAAACACGAGGGGGACATGAGCCAACACTGAGACCTATCCTGTCTGAGGTACCTCAGAACAAGGGCACAAGAGAACCACTGGTCACTGGGAACAGCTGACTTCATACATGTTTGACTCTAACCTGTTCCATCATGGATTCAGAGACAGAGCAGCTCTTGTCACCTCTGCTTCAGGCCAGACGTCCTTGTCCTGCAAAAGAGTAAGAGAGAACTAAGAATGGGAAAAAATTTCCCATAAATTCACACCTGACGTCCTTGTCCTGCAAAAGAGTAAGAAAGAACTAAGAATGGGGAAAAATTTCCCATAAATTCACACCCTGCAGCACTGCTCCTGTGTCTGGCCATGGCTCAGAAAAATGACCTTCTGAGTGATGCACACCCCTGTTTCTGGAAAGAGCTGCCCATCTTACCTGACAGTCATGAAAAAGGCCTGAGAAAACCTGTCCCAGTGAGAAGGACCCTATGAAGGTGAATGAGGGGCACGAAACTCCTTCCTGCCACAGACATGTGCCAGACAGTCGAATGATATAACCTGCAAATGGGGTTTTAAAGCCAAGAGGTAGTGCTGGGAAAGGGAGGGACAACCCTCCACAGTGCCAGAGGCTGGAATGGACAGCAGTGTTATCAGAGAGGAATTTCTGGGCACCTACTGAGAGCCAGTGAGCTGCCTGGGTGTGCATACACAGCAGCAAGTTCTGAAGTGAAACACTCAGCTGACACCACCAGACATCTGCAGAACCTCCAGTGTGCCTCCCCTGTGTCCCATGCAGAGATAAAGTTGGATGCTCAGGCTCATTTCAGGACATCCCAGCAAATATCCAGTGATGGGGAAGGTTGGACCAAGTGCTATCAAAGGCTTCCAGTCACGAGTGCAGCTCCACTAAGCCCCCAGGGAGGGCAGCTCGGTCCAAGGGAGCAAACAGGGCTGATGCCATGAGCTCCTCTGCCCCGTGTGCTCAGGGCTGACAGCTCAGCCTGTGTCTGGGCAGTGCCCAAGGGAAGCAGCACATAGGGAGGGCAGAGCATGGTGCAGAGGGGCCCTCCCTCCCTCCCTCGGAATGGGGAGATTGCAGGAGCACAGTGCTCCCTCCTCACTAGCTGCCTCAGATGCAGCAGTCCCACTGCTGGACACACAGCTCTGGTTTGACTCTGGATGAGCAGTGCCTGGCTGAAGTGAGCGCTACCTTCCCACCAGGCCTTCTTCACCCAGGGCAATAACCTGGCTGTTATTAAGGTACCTCCTGACCAAAACTGGGGTGAAAGCACCGAGGAGCCCAAAGAAATGACCTGCTAACCATGGAAGACCTGGGCTAGCAATGAACACTCCTGTTTCACAGTAAGAACCCCTCACAACTATGCTTTAAATAGCTAAGTGTGCTGGTGGAAAAGGAGGAAATGAAAGTAGAAATTAATTCAAACTCTGAAGCAAACCACAGTAATTTTTCAAAAGTTCATGAATTTCTCAACTTCTCAAAGGCTCTTAAAGTCCCCAAGACCAAGACACAGTCTCAAATATGTCTAAACCACACAGTAGCCCACAGGCAGCCTCCTAACCATCTTTTCATGTAGCTGTTTTGTCAGATCAACAGCTAAACACAAAACACAGGTTTGGCCTTTGCTGCTTTGCATTTTCCTTTGTTCCATTCAAATCACTATTGCTGCTACTCACCTCTGCTCTAAGCACTCTCTGCATCTTTTCATGTAGCTGTTTTGTCAGATCAACAGCTAAACACAAAACACAGGTTTGGCCTTTGCTGCTTTGCATTTTCCTTTGTTCCATTCAAATCACTATTGCTGCTACTCACCTCTGCTCTAAAGGGTGCACTCTTTGGGAAGAGTGCAGTCCTGTCCTCCTCTCTGGGACCTTGACAGGGCTCTGAAACAGGTCAAGGTGACAACTCCTCCTGGGCTTGACTTTGCTGGAGGAGAGACAGATATTAATGCAGGTTAGAGAACTTGAAACAGAAGCCTGAGACTAAGAGGAAAGTGGGGATTTAGTATTAAATTAAACTGGCAGGACTTTGGCTTTGTGCAAACAACTCAGGAGCTGTTCACACCAGGAACATTTCTGTGGGCTAGGCAAGGCTTGCACACATTCTGGTTTGATAGATAACATTTATTTTCAATTCAAAGCAGACCAAAACCAAAGCATTCATGTTACAACCAGTAGAGAATGGATATCCCCTGCTCTTAACTCCTGCTGAGTTAAACACTACTTCCTAAAGCATCATGGCTTAGGGCACAGGAAGCCTGGAGTAGTATTGAACCTCCCCTGCCCACATCCCACTTGCTTGGAAGACCACGTTCATCACAGAAACCCTCTTGGGCCCTATGAGTAATGCCATCCCCACCCAGCTCTGGCCTACACCAAAAGCTTCATGTGGGACCACAGCAGCACTCCACAGCTGCTCAGACTGACCCATGCTGGCACCAGCCAGCTGACTTTGTACCACAAGCACAGGCTGAACAGACCTGCTTGTCCTCCAAGGTGCAAGAAGCTCACACCACACTGCCCACGTGGAGGGACAGATACTGTCCCGCAGCTCTGGCAGAAGTGTGGTGCAGCACAAGACACTTCAGCTGCACACAAGAGCCCAGCTGTGCTGGTGAGACTTGCTGACTAGTACCAAAGAGATTTCTTACTCCAAAACCTTTACAGCCACACCTTTCTCCTCAAAAAGCCTGGCACAACTGTGCTGGGATGACCTACTTTTTCTCATTGATGAGAATTCCTGTGAACTGTGAGTTGAGCACTGACAAATGGTGATAAATAGACTAAATAAAACATCATCGTACGGGGGGACCAATGTAATCTTTCTAACAGCAAGAGGATGGATTGAAGAAATCGAAGTCAAGACACTCCCTTGGAGGGTTTGCCACCTGCCACATCTTTCCAAGGAGAGTTCACAATGTAGCTTTAAAAGCCAGA